GATCGCGCGGCTGAAGCTGGAGCAGCCCGGGCTCTTCGCCTGGGAGATCCGCCGGCAGCTGCACGCCGAGGGAATCTGCGCCAGCAGCGGCATCCCCAGCGTGAGTCCGGCCGGAGACCCCCGGGGCCGCGGGAGGTGGGAATGGTGCACAGGGGAGGGGTCGGGCGGTGGGAATGTGCACAAGGGAAGGGTCGGGGCGGTGGGAATGTGCACAGGGGAGGGGTCGGGGCGGTGGGAATGTGCACAGGGGAGGGGTCGGGGCGGTGGGAAGGGTCCGGGTCAGTGGGAAGGGCTCGGGGAATGGGAAGGAGCCACAGGGAAGGGCTCGGGGATGGGAAGCAGCCACAGGGAAGGGCTCGGGGATGGGAAGCAGCCACAGGGAAGGGCTCGGGGATGGGAAGGAGCCACAGGGAAGGGCTCGGGGATGGGAAGGAGCCACAGGGAAGGGCTCGGGGAAGGGAAGGAGACACAGGGAAGGGCTCGGCGCCTGGTGAGACGCGGAGCTGGAGCGGGTGGGGAGGGGAAGGCAGATCGCTCCTTCCCAGCGGCAGCAGAGCCCCGAGCGCCACCCCCGAGCCCGGCGGCCTCCTCGGGCCGCGGGACACCGCGGTGGCTCCGTGACAAGTGTCCCTGCGGGGCGGGGAGCGCTGTGCTTCCCGAGGACAGGCCCGCCCTGCCGGTGCCCCGCCGTGCCAGCCGCCTCCCGTTAGATTCTGTCGGTGCCCGGGATTCCGGGGTCCTGGATCACAAACCGGGAGCAGACGGGCTCGGCCCCGGCTCCGGAGAGCATCCCAGAGACAGCTCCGGGACACCGCCTCCATTGCCGTCCCCCCGCAGCCCCGGGGGTCCCGGCACATCCCCTCTCCCCTGCCCAGGTCTCCTCCATCAACCGCGTGCTCAGGACCCTGCCCAGCGACCTGCGGCTGGCGGCCGAGCCCCGGGACCCGCGGCCACGGGGTGAGCCTCGCCCCAAAGCCCGGACCCCTCCTGAGCCCCCCGGCCCCTCCGGGGAGCCCCCAGCACCTGGTCCGCCCCCAGCTTCTGCCCTTGTGTCCCCGCAGTGTCCCCTCCGGCCGTGCCGCAGCCCCCCGCGGCCCCGGGGAGCCAGGAGCCCCCGCCGGGCCCCGGGCACCGGAGCGGCGGCAGGAGCCGGACCGTGTTCTCCCGGCAGCAGCAGGAGGCTCTGGAGGAAGGTGCGCTCCCCGCGGGATGCGAGCGGCACCGAGCGGGGCTGCTCCGGGGGGGAACGTCCCTCGTGTCCCTGTGGGCGGCACGGCCATCGCCGCGGGGCCCCAAACCGCCCCGGAGCACCCCAAACCGCCCCAGAGCAGCGCAGAGCACAGCAGAGCACCCCAAACCTCCCCAGAGCACCCCAGAACATCCCAAACCGCCCCAGAGCACCCCAAACCTCCCCAGAGCACCCCAAACCTCTCCAGAGCACCGCAGAGCACAGCAGAGCACCCCAAACCGCCCCAGAGCACCCCAAACCGCCCCAGAGCACCCCAGAGCACCCCAACCAACCCCAGAGCACCCCAGAGCACAGCAGAGCACCCCAAACCACCCCAGAACATCCCAACCCACCCCAGAGCACCGCAGAGCACCCCAAACCTCCCTAGACCACCGCAGAGCACAGCAAACCTCCCCAGAGAACCCCAGAGCACCCCAAAGCACCTCAAACCACCCCAAACAACCCCAGACTACCCCAACCCAAACCAGAGCACCCCAAACCGCCCCAGAGCACCCCAAACCGCTGCAGACACACCCTGTTATCTCCTGCCCGGGTGCCGGGGGTGGCTGCCCTGACCCGGGCCCGCTCACCCCGATGTCCCTTGCAGAGTTCCGGAGGGGACAGTACCCGGACACCGCCACCCGGGAGAGCCTGGCCGCGGCCACCCAGCTCCCCGAGACCACCGTCAGGGTAAGGGGGACCCCCGGAGGGGCCGCCGGGACCGGGGCCGCCAGCCACATTCCATGGCACACTCTCTGGCACACTCTCTGGCACACCTGGCACATTCCCTGGCACACTCCCTGGCACACTCCATGGCACACTCCCTGGCACAGCTGGCACACGCCCCTCGCACGTTCCTCCCAGCAGCCCCAGCCCCACATCCCTGTGCCCTGCCGAGCCTCCCCCGGTGCACGGCAGCCCCTTCCCCTCCAGCCCAGAGCACTGCCGGCCTCTGCGTGCCCAGGCAGTGCCAGCGGCGAGTCCGCCGTGCCAGGGCAGCGCTGCCCGCCCGCGGGCACCCCGCAGCAGGGCAGGGCACACACGAGAGCAGCGGCGAGGGTCCCGTGCCCGGTGCCGGGGACACGCCCGGAGCCTGCTGTGTGCTTCCCATGAGTGGGAAGATGCAGGATCAAAGCTTTCCTCTGCCCAGGACCGTGCCCATTCCAGGGATGGAGCCCCCTGTCCCTGTCCGTGTCCGTGTTTGGGATCAAAGCCTTCCTCTGCCCAGGACCGTGCCCATTCCCGGGATGGAGCCCCTCGTCCCTGCCCGCGTCCGTGTTTGGGATCAAAGCTTTCCTCTGCCCAGGACCGTGCCCATTCCAGGGATGGAGCCCCTCGTCCCTGCCCGTGTCCGTGTTTGGGATCAAAGCTTTCCTCTGCCCAGAATCAAACCCTTTCCTCCGCCCATGCCCACGTGCATGCCGGCCATCCGGACGCGGGCATCCTTTTGCCCACGCCCGTGCCCATGGCTGGGATGGAGCCCCCTTCTCTGCCCGTGTCCCGGCCGTGTCCCCTTCGCTCCCGGGCTGTGGCGAGTCTCCCGGGGCTCAGAGCTGTGCCGAGGGGCCGTGGGGCGGGCGGGGGGCGGCAGCCTCAGCTCCGGCCCTCTCCCCAGGTCTGGTTCTCGAACCGCCGAGCCAAGTGGCGACGGGAGAGCAAGCGGCAGCTGGAGGCTGGCGGCGCAGGTGACAGCCCGGGGACCGAGGGGACGGGACGTGGGACCTGCCCCGGAGGAGGGGGTGCGGCCCTGGGAGGGAGCGCGGCTGACATTTGGCGCTGGGACCCCGGGGGTTGCTGCCCGGAGCCCCGCCGGGAGCTGGGGAAAGGCCACGGCGCTCCCGGTGCGCCCCGGTGAGCCGGGGCCCGAGCCAGGACATTGTCCCCGCCCGTGCCCACGCAGGCTCCTGGAGCGACTGGATCCCGCCCGCTGCCGGTCCCTCCGCCGCCGCGGCCGCCGCACGGGTAGGACATGGCCGGTCCCGGGGTGCTGGGGACACCCCAACAAGCTCGGGCACGCTCTGGAGCCCGCGCTGCCGCGGGGAGCCCCGTCTGCCCGTCCCCTCGGGGTGACCCGGTCCCGGCGCAGCCCAGGGACACGGCGCTCTCTGGTCCGCAGCAGCCCCTCCCGGACTCCCCCGCGGGCTCGGCGCAGCCCCTCCACGGCCTCGCCGCCCACCCGCGCCCCCCGGCCCCGCTGCACCTCTGCGCCTCCGGGCCCTGCGCCTGGGACGACGCTTGCTGCGGTACGAGCGGCCGGCCTCGGCCACGGGCAGCGCGGGAGCTTCGGGGGCTGGGGGGTCCCCTGGGTGTCCCCTCCCAGGGCGATGCCTGAGCCCCGTGTCCATCCCGCAGGTCTGCCTCCCGGCGGGACCCCCGCCCCAGCGCCCTGGCAGCCCCTGGAGAGCTCCCCCTTCGCCCTGCTGCCCCCCGGGCTCACCCCGCTGCCAGCCTGGGGCCTGGAGCCCCTCTGAGCCCCCGGTGCCACCGACCCGCATCCGCCCCCCC